CAGAATTAATCACTTCAATAGTACAGTAACTCCCTTCTTTGCCTTTTTTTTTTCTTGAAACGGAGTCTCACTCTTGTTGCCCAGGCTGGAGTGCAGTGGCGCAATGTCGGCTCACCGCAACCTCCGCCTACAGAGTTCAAGCCATTCTCCTGCCTCAGCCTCATGAGTAGCTGGGATTACAGGCATGTGCCACCATGCGAGGCTAATTTTGTATTTTTAGTAGAGACGGGGTTTCTCTATGTTGATTGGGCTGGTCTCGAACTCCCAACCTCAGGTAATCCACCCGCCTTGGCCTTCCAAAGTGCTGGGACTACAGACGTCAGCCACCTTGCCCAGCCCTTCTTTGCCTTTTGATGCAGAGGCTTGAGGAGCCCAAAGTGATTGGATGGCAGTCTTAACTTCCAGTTCAGTGGGATCATTGCTGTGTTTCCAGATTGGAAGCATTCTTCCATTGGAACTACAACCTCTAGGCCAGTAAAGGTTAAAGTAGTGACAATTTTGCTAGTGAATCACTAGGGGTAATGGTGAGTGGTGTCACTAAATTTCCACTCCTTGATTCTTGGGCCTGCAAACCTGGCTATGGGAGAAACAGCACCATATTTAGACCACATATATCTTCCTGGAGGACACTGCCCCAGTCCTGCAAGGTATTGCCATCTGGTTGGTCCTGTAACTTGTTTCCAAAATGCCATTCCTCTGTTCTGTCACATCAGTGGCTTTATGAGGGACACACTATGCTAAGATCAGTACATTCCATCACCATGGGCCCATCGCCACATGTCATCGGCTATGAAGTGAGATCTCTGGTCAGAAGCAGTGCTGTGTGGATTACCATGATGGTGGCAACCATTCTATAAGTCCACGAATGGCAGTTTTGGCAGAGGCACTGTATGCAAGAAAGGCAAATTCATATTCTGAGTAAGTGTCTATTTTACTAAGAACAAATGCTGCCCCTTCCATGATGGAAGAAGTCCAATGTAATCAACCTTCCACCACACAGCTGGCTGATTACCCTGGGCAGTGGTGCCACAGAGGAGACTCGGTGTTGGTCTCTGCAGCAGCAGGTTGGGCACTCCCCAGTGGTTGTAGCCAGGTTGACTGTGGTGAATGGAAGTCTACGCTGCTGGGCTTCTGCCACCATGAGCCCACTGGACAATGACAAGAATGGCTGGAGAAAGAGGTTGATTGATATCCACAGAATAGGTCCTCCGATCCCTTTGATTATTAAAATCCTCTACTGAGCTCACACTTTAACGAGCATTCACATGAGACACAAATATCTTCACGTTGTTTGCCTATATACCTCTATCCTTGCATCTCTTCCCTATATCTTCTTGTTACAAACTTTCCAGTTATGTCTCTTCCAGTTCCATTCAGCCAAATCATGAGTCATAGCCTGAATGCCAGATTCCTATCTCTGGCCATTTCTCCTTTCAAGCAAAATGAACAACCAAGTGCACTGCTTGTAATTCTGTCCACTAGAGGTATTTCTCTTCACCACTGTCCTTCAGGGATGTCCTTGAGGGGTTTGTAGAGCTGCAGCTCTTCACTTTTAGGTAGATCCTGTGTATTGTGCAGTACTTTCTACAAAGCAGACCCAAATTTTTTCTATAAATCAGACTCAAGTTTTGTCTTTCTCAATCAACTGATCATAAGGAACTCTCCATGAGGAAAGAGGTACAGGCTGGGAGAGAGAAGGTCACATAGCAGGAGTAGGGACCATGGGCATCTGGCCCCCTTCCTCATATAATTTACTCTTGTCTTTAGGGCCTACTTGAGCCAGTCTTGTATATATCACTTTCATTTGACAATGAGTGCCGCTGTGCACACCCAACTTTATGGTCTGGTGGGTTAGACATCATTTTGTCTAACCCACCAGATCATGATGGGCAGCTCAGGTCCCATGGTAGCCCATGGTTAAGGAGTCAGTCTCACTAAAGCACAGTAGCAAGCCAGAAACTGTTTCTCCAAGAAGAGGCATTGTCTACAGATAATCGGCAAGGCTTTGCTTTGAAATCCTAAAAGTCACCATCATACCAATGCTGGATCATTATCATATAAGCAACAAAAAATTTGGGTGAATATCTTACAAAGTAATGATCGGCAGGGTTGGCTGGTTCATGCCTGTAATCCCAGCACTTTGTGAGGCTGAGGTAGGTGGATCACCTGAGGTCAGGAGTTTGAGACCAGCCTGGCCAATATGATGAAACCCCATCGCTACTAAAAATACAAAAATTAGTTGGGCATGGTAGTGGGTGCCTGCAATCACAGCTACTAGGGAGGCTGAGACAGGAGAATCACTTGAATCCAGGAGGCAGAGGTTGTAGTGAGCCGAGATGGCACCATTGCACTCCAGCCTGAACGATAAGAGTGAAACTCCGTCTCAAAACAAACAAAATAATGATCAGTCCTCACAGAGAAGAAAATTAATAACTTTTTTTCCACTTGTCTTTCAAAATGGTTTTAAACTCATCTGGGTTATTTTATTTATCAGAATTCCATTCTGAGGTTATATTTTTAATATTCACACTTAAATACTAGTCATATGATTTATGGCTAAATTGAGTAATGAGTATCCATTGTATGAGTGTCTCTTCAACACATTTTAGCCTTAGGAGATAAAAGCAAACAATGTAGAAACAAAAATCTAGTTGAAGTATTATCCATAAAGGGAAGATGAACAAAATCTATTTAGAATGAAACATTCTAAAGACACACACCCAATGCCACCACTGTCCTTAAAATAGAACTCAAATATTTAGTTAACTGAAAAGTATGTGTTTTTCATGTCTCATAGGCCTCATTTGGGGTTGGCTTGGTTATCTTTGGATTCCTCACTCCGTATAAAAGAGTATTTTTTTTCTAATTTTGGTAGGATGGCACTTTTTGAAACAACAAAATCACCATCATGGGTTCC